AATTTCATTACGTAAAAAATTCATTCGACAAGAACTATAGTTTTTATGATTTTGTGAACATGCAATAAAATCAGGTAAAATATTATCATGAATAAAATTTAGATTATAGTACGAGTAAATTTAATTCACTTTAAACTATATTTTAAAAAAACAAAAAAAAATATTATTCATGTTTATGTGAATAATATGAGCAAAATCAATTGATTACACTGCTTTTTTAGAAAGAAAAAATAAACTTTTCATATGAACAGTATACTGAATTAATTCACTTGCTAATTTTCAAAAAAATTTAAAAAAATACCTACAGTTCACGTTGATAAGCAGTGATACAGTGGAGTCATGCTCCACTGTTGGTGTTAATATTCAGACGAAATGCTGCTTCTCAAAACCCTGTTGCACACCACAGTTATCAGTGGGTTCCATGAAAAAAAATTGTTATTTTAATCTTACCAAACATTAAAAGTTGTGGTTGCAAGTGAACTTTACTCTCAACTATAATAACAAACACTCACTTATATGGACACCACAAACACTTGTTTGGTGTCCAAAACTTTACCGTTCTCTTTTTTGTTGTGCACAACCCCGATAAGCATGCTTTTTAAACTGGCCCGGTGAGATTTGGGTTACGAGTTTTGATTGGATGGATTGATTTTGAAAGGGTCGTGTTTATAAAACAAAGTAATATTAGTTTTTTTTTAAATAAATAACAAATTATAATTGAGATTTTTTATCGGTTTTAATAAATCAACTAAGTTATTGAATTAATTTAAATTTTTAAATGAATTATCTAAATCTTTATTTAATTTTAATTTTAAAAAAATTAAAATTAAATTAATCTATTAAATCAAGCATCTAGCTAAATTTTAAAACTACTAGCCACATAATTTGTTTTTTTTGAGATTTTAGATTTTTTATTGTACTATTTAATTTTCATCTCCTGGCCATAAATGTTTATGTTGCAAAATTGATGATTAGTTGAGCCTTTACTCAATTTTTATTAAGATGAATTTTATTAAGATGAATATTTACTTAACATGTCACTTTTGAGATGATGGCTAATACAATTTACATCAAGCAAGCATGATAAACTATGTAACAATAAAACTAAAAAGCTAATAATGTAAAAAAAGGTATACCTACAAAAGTTATAAGATAACTTTGAAAAATTATATATGCTTAAATTAGAAAGTATTTTAGATTATTTTGTTAGAGTATTGACAATATACAAGTAAATAAAAAAATATAGAAAGAAGATAAAAAAATATATATAATAGAAAAGATCTTACACTCATTGTAAAAGAAATTCTATTATGTGATGGATGCAAAAGAGAAATCACATAATATGGATTTTTTGACAATTTAAAATCACATAAGAAAATTACAAGCTCACGGAAAAAGAATCAATAAAATTCAAGAAAACATAAAAGTACAAACATTTTTTTTAAAAAAATTTACGAAAAGAAGATGATTCTAGATATATCTAATGAGGTAAAGGATATGAAGAAGATAGAGAAAGAGACAAATTTGAAAAAAACAGCTAAATTGATCTTAAAAGATCAACCAATCAACTAAATGAAATAAATTGGCTGATCGATTCCACTAATAATAGCAATTAGAGACCTAGGTTTTACAAAACAAAATTAAATGTTATAATTCTTAAAAAAAAAGTCATCATACCGAGGATTACTGGAATATAATCAAAAGAGTTAAAGAGGATGACAATATAGTGATGGAAGAGAAGCAAAGAACCATCGTATTACTTATCATAACCTATTTTTGGGTTCTTCCTAGTTGCATTCCATTTTCTAAAATAGAAAAGAAAAGGCAGGAACACGGTGTCGTTTTAATCGACACTGTGCATGTTCTTCTTCCCTGCACATGCAAAGGCAGGGAAGAGGAAGTTTGATTTTTTTCCCTCTATTCTTCCTATTTTTCCCTTCCCACTTGCCTATAAAACCCGGACACAAGCCATCTCCCTTACCCTGCCACCTTTAATACAACCCATGCCCTGCAGACAACCGGCCACTGCAGGATAAGGTAATCCTGTTTCCCTCCTACGCCATGATGAAACAAGGCAGTGGGGACTCTCTCCCCGCTTGCCTATCAAAACCAGAGGGGGGGAAGGTTTGAGGGGAGGGGGAAGGAAGCGGGAAATATTTTTTTTGAAAGAGAAAGCGAGGGAGACCGAGAGAGAGAGAGACAAATAGTTTTTTTGAGAGAGAAAGGGGAGGACGAAAGGAGGGAAACAACAAGTTTTTTTTTTTTGAAAAAAAATAGAGTGAAGAGAAGAGACCGAAACAGTAGAAACTAGAAAAAAGCCGGGGAGATATTGACAGGGAGACAGAGAGAGAGAGGGACAGAAACGAAAAGAAAAAACAGGGGAGAACAGAGGAGGAAGAAGAATGGAAAAGGAAATAAAAAAGAGAGAGAAAGAGGAGACAAGAGAAGCAACAGAGGGGAGACCAAAGCAAAACAGAGAAAAAGAGAAGAAGAAAAACCACAGCAGCCACCGTGCCTCCTCTCCACCGCCACATCACACCACCTGACCGCCGCTGACTGCCATGAAGAAACAGAGGAGGTGGCAGAGAAAAGAAGACAGCAAAACAGCAGAGGGAGGAGAAGAGCCACCGTTGCGCCTCCACCAGCGCCTCCACCGTTCCTCCCAGCCACCACCGACAGCGCTGCCACCGCCAGAGATTAAATAGCGAAGAACAAGATAAACACAGGAGAGGGGTAGAGGCAGCAGGAAGAAGAAGAAGCAGCCCCTTGCAGCAGCCACCGTCTGCCACTGCAGCAACGCCACCGGGGTTCCCAGCCACCTCCACCCTAGCTACAAGCGGCCACCAGCCCAGCTCTTACAGCACCTCCACTCCAGGTAACGTTCTCCTCTCCCCTACCGTTTTTGTTCATCCTCATTTGCATGCAGAACGTGAGCAATTCACGTTCTGCAGCAAATGAAACTTAATTAGCTAGTTACTGTGCTGTGCACAGTAACTAGCTAATTAAGTTCGGTTGGGCTGGAACATCAGCCCAGCCCACGAGGCTGGGCTGAGTCCAGCCCTGTAGCAGAGGCCCAGCCCCCACAATTGAGCCGGGTCTGGTCTAGTTTATTTTTTTCTTGTTTTAAAAAAATATATATTTTCAAAGAAATTATGATTTCCTCGTGTATTTGTTTTACGCCATTTTGATTGATATTAGTCTGTATTTTGTATCACAAAGATGCAAATTCGGTATTAAAATACCTGGTTTTCGTTAAGATTTTGAAAACACATTAAAAAAAAGATTTTTTTTTGTGCATACGTCCACATCTCTCAAAGCTAAAAAAAATCATATTGTATTTTTATAAAATAAAAAAAATTCAAAAAAATATATATTATATTTTAGCATGCATTTTGGTTTAAATAACCAATTTATTAAAGTCATGAAAACTTGGCCAATATTTGAAAAAAATCAAAAAAATATTTTGTTTTATTTTAATAACAGAGATTATGAATATAGTAAAACGTATTCCTGATATAAAAATAATAGTTCTTTTGTTGACATTAGGCTTGATATAAAAATAAAAGTTCTTTTGTTGACACTAGGATGGTTAAGTTTTATCCCGATAAGATAAGGATCTCCTTATTAAGGAGAACTTTTTTTAAATCATAGACAGACCAACAATTAGAAATATGATACAACCGTAGCATATATCTAGAATTATAATTTTTTATATTAATTACATTATAGTCCTCAACTTTTTTTAAATCATAGATAGACCAACAATTAGATATATGATACAACCGAAGCATATATCTAGAATTATAATTTTTATATTAATTACATTATAGTCCTCAATTTCTAAGTTTTATTTACAATCAAGTCACTTGATTAATCATCTTATTTTAATTTATGACCAACAATTCTTATATTATCATCTATTTGGTTTTCTAATAAGTTGTCTCAAATATAAATCATAATCCTAAATAATATAGGATTAAATAAATTAAATAATTTAATTTATTATCAATTCAATAATTGATTGATTTATATTTGAAGATCGAGTACAATATTTAACAACATGTTATGATTCCTAAAATGTTAGAGAAATCATAAGTGGTTTAACTTAACTTTTCAATGATTAGTTTCTGAATGTAATTATTATCATTTCATCATGAATATCCTAATTTACTCATTATAGCATGTAATTTGTCTGTTTTACTAGATCATGTTAGTTCTCAACGTTATAATCATTGATTCTTTAAATAAGATTTTAAAATTCATTCCACCTTGATTAAAGATTCACAACCAATATTATTTAGAATCAAATGAAATATTTTTTTCTAATTCACCTAGGATGATAAATCCTCTCTTGATTATTTAAATATTTTCATATAATTTATGTTAGCGATATTTACTCATTTGTTACTCTTGATTGTGTGGTCATGATTAAAACGTAACACTTTTTATCTAAAATAACTTAGTGATCTCAAGTCTGAAATCACTTATACAACTATCACGTGAGTCTTTTAACATGGATATAAATGATCTTTTCATATGAAATTTTCTAGTAGATCAATTCAATGTATATATTATCTAACAAGTATTTGCATATCGGTTTCATGTATCCCTTATACCTCAGTTTATGAAAGTAGTTGTTTTTTTTCATAAAAAAAAAATATAATATATATTGATCTTAACAACTCTAATTAATGTATAATTTTAATAGAACATTGACATGGAATATTTAGAAATAATATTATTTTTTATACAAAATATTTTTGTTTGATGAACTTTATTCTTACTCTAGATTTATAAATCAAATATTAAATTTATTAATGAAGTATAATTGAATATTAAAAATAAAAAAATTATTAATAATAAATATATTTTATATAAATAAAATTAATATTACATGGAACCAATCACTAAGCATATTTCTTACAAATAATCCTCCATCAACGTTGAAAACTCAGTATATGGAACCAATCACGAAGCATATTTCTTACAAAATAATCCTCCATCAACGTTGAAAACTCAACGTCCAGAATATCAGTTCTCCAAGTGTAGGAAGACAAATATCATTATAGCTTCGCTCAATTGGAGGCCACCAATTGGGTCTTACAAACAAGCATCTAAGATTTTGCAGGGCTAAGGAGGCAGCAGCGTAACTAGATTCATAGACTCTCAAGCCCATGGATTTTTATTCATTATTGGACGACGGATCTATAATGATACTCGACTCCCATAGATTATTTTATATTCTTCCCTCATTTTAGAGACTAACTTCGTATCTTCAAATGTTTTAATCTGGAGACCCCATCGTTGCCATTCAAGTGTTTGAGTGCAAGAAAGTCCTTCACAGTGGTTTCCCTGTAGACTGGAGGATTTTCTTCGGAAAGTAACTCCTTGATCGGCCCATACAGCCTTAAGGTCTCAGGCAAAAGATTTTGCCTGAAAAGGCATGCCACTGAAGTTCTCGGACCGACATTTCTCGCTACCACTCTGTGAGTTGCGCTAACAAATTTGTCATTGGAGATTAGCTGCACAGAAGATTGAAAAAAACAACTGTTATGACATTTGAGTCAGTTGCTGCAATTTTATGTTCACAAAATATATATCACGGGCGTTCGTCAATGATGTAAAATTGGATCGATGTTGTATCATGAACTTGCCTGAAACAAATCTCCCACATTTACCACTAGAGCTCCTGGCATGGGGCTCACGTTGATCCATTGATTTTCATGGAGAACTTGGAGGCCACCGATCTGATCTTGTAGAAGCAAGGTGAGGAAACCACTGTCAGCATGTTTTGTGGTGCCCATAGTCAGTTCCGGTTCAGGACATGCTGGGTAGCAATGACCCAGAACATAAAGTCCCTCTGCACAACCAATGTCTTTGAGATGATTGGGTTCGAGCCCCAGCGCTTCGGATAACATTTCAAATAGGCTGTTCCCCAGTGTCATTATTCTTTTCGAGTAATCAATGAGTATATCCCTGTATTAATTAACTGATGTTAATTTGTTCTTGTTATCACTTAAACTATGCAATAAGAAAAACAAAAAAGTCTGACAGACAAAAGATAAAACAATGCTAAATTTCACTCGTCAGGATTATGTATAGCGGCTCTCCTTTCCACATACCTGCATACTGGAGGCAATTCTTCAGGATTTGGAGGACTGGGTGCCATTACACATGTCAAAGTATCTCTCCAACTAGCTGCAGGTACTTGGTACAGATCAAAATTGGAATTGTATAGCACTTTCCGGGTGTAATCGCGAGAATAGAACTCCTTCTTTACCTCAACATCCTGATGGTGAAATCTATGTATCCCATCGATTACCTCCTCTTGTATGCTCCTTGGAATTCCATGATTAACCATCTGAAAGAAACCCCACTTCTTGCAAGCACTTCCAAGTTTCTGAATTATATTGCGTCGTCGATTTTCGTCTTCATTCCAGCCTTCAAAGTCGATGATTGGAATGCTGAAGTTGGGTTCATGAAAAGCAGGAGCATCTTCAAGCTTGACGCATTGCTCGTGGATGAACATCCGTGGAATCTTCGTCACTCCAGCATCCACAAGCCCCTTTAGTGTCATCAAAAGCCTTGAACTCGCGTTGCCTGTCATAATCACAATCATTTTCTGCTTGAATTTGGTATGTCGCCATTTCTCTTTCCCTCTCGTTTTTTTTTTTTTCCTTGTTTGTGAAAGCAGGTACAATAGAGATTGTTTAACTAGATGGAGAAGAGGCACAGCCACCAGGACAATTGAGCATGAGCAGAAGCAGATGGGATGCTTGTAATGATGCAAGAGGAGGGTATAAATAATGGTGAAGCTTGTTGGTGTTTATAAGCACTTGGTCTGAGCTCCCATGCATTAAGAAAATTGCCTAAAAAAAAAAGTCAACTCGATGGTTAAAAAAATCAAGCATGAGTTGCAATGAAGATAGTAGTTATTGAAATGATATATCGTGACTCTTGCTTGAAGTTTTCATAGTTGGATATTCTAAAAGAAATAAAAAAATAACTAAAAAGAGATGGTTTTGAATAAAAATAACTGTTCCGGGTACCAATATCTCTTTCGTTCTTGTAACAAATCATTTTGAAATTAGTATTATAATGGATAACATAATTTTTTATATGTAAATTATCTGTGACAAATCCATTACGTACCTCAAGTTGTATACAGTACTTAATTACTTAAAAAATAAATATTTGCCACATGTAATTATTAAATTAATACACATTGTAGAATATTTATATAGTGTAAATACATGGTTGAATTACTTAAAAGATATATAAAAAAATTTACTTAAAAAGGAAAAGATGTGTTATTCAATTAATAAATTAAATTTTCATAAATTCTAAGGACCAATATATAAACATAAATAATTAATTGTTGAATCCAATATAACCAGTGTTATAAGTAGAGTAATGATTTTTGTTTTTTAAAAAGAAACATTTATACTTTAATTAATATAATGGAGTCATTGGTGCAATATCTCAAGCATCTGAACCTGCATCAACTTATCTTGAATGGCATGAAATAAGATTTTAAGTTGTATATGAAACATCTCGAATATATATATATATATATTATTTTAATATATTTTTAAATAAAAGATATTTTGAAAAACAAAGCAACTAAATTTCTAAATATACCCTCCTTGCAAACAGTTAATGAAGGACCAAAGTTTGTTTTAAGTTTTTTCAATTTCATCACCTTCCATTTGAGTAATTTTGCTATCTCAAAACTGATTGTTTGCATGTGTCCGCAGCCAGTGGAATGACGAAGCAATCCATCGTTGAGCAAACGCTTTCTGATCTTGTGACCCTCGTAGGATATGTTAAGTTAGGGAATGACAATAATGCCCGCTTGTCCATGTTTAGTCTTATTGTATTTATAAATTAAATAATCTTCTTTGTTTTTTGATATTTGTTTTTGGTATCTATGATTTTTTTTTAATTTCTTATTTATTTTCTTGACTCTTTAATAAAAAAATTATTTTTTTTAATTTAATCATTCAATTCTAATTTGTAATGCATTACGCTTTTTAATTTAATTTTTTTTTATTTTTTATAATTAACCTTTTTATATAAGTTTTTTTTAATTTTACTATTCAATCAAAGTTTATTTTGTGTTATTATTTTTAATTTGATTCTTAATTGTTTTTTATTGGAGTTATTTTTCTTCAATTTATCTCTCTAAACAAAAAAAAATGTGTCATTGTTTCTTTTAATTTATTTTTTTATCCTTTGCCCTTTTTTATTTAAAATTTTCATATATTTTATTTTTATTTGTTCCTTATTCTTTGAATGTTTTTCTTAACTCTTTTATAAAAGTTTTATTGGTTTTTCATCTCAACTTTCAAACTAAGTTTATGTTTTGCTATTTTTTTTAATTTTTGACTCATTCTTTTATTTTTTTTCCTTTTGTTTTAGTTATTTCTCTCTTCAATATAATCCTCCTATCAAAAATAAAAATAGTTATCCTTAATTTATTTTCTTGACTCTTTAATAAAAAATTTATTTTTTTAATTTAATCATTCAATTCTAATTTGTAATGCATTACGCTTTTTAATTTAATTTTTTTTTATTTTTTATAATTAACCTTTTTACATAAGTTTTTTTTAATTTTACTATTCAATCAAAGTTTATTTTGTGTTATTATTTTTAATTTGATTCTTAATTGTTTTTTATTGGAGTTATTTTTCTTCAATTTATCTCTCTAAACAAAAAAAATGTGTCATTGTTTCTTTTAATTTATTTTTTTATCCTTTGCCCTTTTTTATTTAAAATTTTCATATATTTTATTTTTATTTGTTCCTTATTCTTTGAATGTTTTTCTTAACTCTTTTATAAAAGTTTTATTGGTTTTTCATCTCAACTTTCAAACTAAGTTTATGTTTTGCTATTTTTTTTAATTTTTGACTCATTCTTTTATTTTTTTTCCTTTTGTTTTAGTTATTTCTCTCTTCAATATAATCTTCTTATCAAAAATAAAAATAGTTATCCTTAATTTATTTTTTTATTTTGATCTTTTTTCTTATTATTTTTTATTTTAAATTATTTTATGTAATTAATTTTTTTCTCATTATGTTCTTTTGTTGGCTCAGCCTATTTTTTTTTATTCCTTTTAATCCAATTTCATGCTCCTATTTTTTTAAGGTATCGTTATCCTTTTTAAAAAAATTATTTGGTTAATATTATTATCTTTTATTTTATGATTTAATTAAAATAAAATTAACTTATTAATTTTAGTTGGTGTTATAACTTGAATTATTAATTAATATTATTTTAAAAAATATATTTACATCACTTAAATATTCCACTTCAACATTATTTTTTACAAAAAAAAAATATCCTGTGAACTCGTGCCCAGCAATTACCTAAAAAGGACCCTTCACTTTTAAACGCAATAATCCGAGGAGGAAAAAAAAAAACATTGCTAGTCTTTTCACCGTGTGTGTGTGTCGTCTATATATATAAAGTATTCAATAAATTATTGGCTGGAGATCAATCGTCGAAAGATTTCGCGAGATTTGTTGAGCCTTCTTTCTCATTGCTCCATTCTCCGTCTTTTTTCCCCCTTATTTTATTCCTTTTTTAGACCAACTTCCAATATATTTGAGAACTAATTGTTAAATTCTCTACAAAATAATGTTGTTTTTTATATAAAAACAATTCATAAATATAATTTAGATAAAAATATAGTCGAGAAGCCTTTAATAATAGTTGAAAGTCTTTAACCAGGAATTCTTTAAAATTTTATTAAAAATAAGATTAATACAAAAAAATATTTAATCAAATCATAACCACGTGTATCTAGGGACGACAATAAATACCCACGAATCAGGTTTGGCAACATCCATACCTAAACCTAAAATTTTTATCCGAAATCTAGCAGGTATAAGACCAACCCTACTTGAATGAGTTTCGAGTATTTGTCAAGTATTTATTTGGTATTAGTTAGGTATTGTTGGGCATTTATGCCCAAACCCAAACCATGTAAACCGACAAATCTTACATAAACATAACTGGAAAAATCTTCCATCAAATGATCCAACAGAGCAATTATAATAACCATGCAGTACGAATTCTGCAAGAATTTACATCGTATAATTAATGTACCGAGGCTTGCTAGCATTATTTTGAACCCAAAGCATCAGGCCTTCCTCTACCTCGCAACAGCATAATAATGTCAATGATGTTAAGGTACCATCCACGAGCTACATACGCTGCCACACAATAGAATTAATGAGACAGCAAAGTAAATCACAAGTTAAAAAGCACAAAGGAATGGACAGCCAAATTTTAGTGGAAGCTTCAACACCATACCAGCGCAATTTCTAGAGCTCAACTCATGGCCGTCGGCCCTACTATTATAACAGCATGGAAAGCGATCTGACCTAATGATGCTACCGCCGTCCACTGCCCACCAGCACCAGTGCCAATCTACTAGCACTTTTCCAGAACAATTGAACTACATAATTTTCATCTGTTCCCGCAAATTTATCCCTTTCTCCATGGCATCAACAAGCTGGCTCTTGTTATTGCTTTCCACGAAGTAATTAGAACGAAAGGAAATGCACTCAGTTTCTCATGTACAAATATGCAGAACCTCAAAAGGAAATATAACAGAGGGCAATCTTGCCCTGATTAATTGCTAGAGATATATTAGGTCCAGTTATATAAATTTTAAATTACTAAAGATTTATATTTCCGTCAACTTTATAATATATGAGATTAATTAAAATTCCCTTCAAATACCAGCATTATTTATAAAAAAAAAAGTATTCTATGATAATAACGACAAAAAGATTTGCAAGTGTCAGAATCAATTCCGCAATTTTTTATTATTTTCCCAGAGCACAAGCCTTGATATCGCTTCCTCCAGGCTACAAGTTTTAATTACGCCCACTTCCCAAAGCACAAGTGGCGAGTATTCAGTTGTTGCCAGCCAATGCTCGCCGCATTATCAAGAGAATCAAGTCACAGCTGTGACCACTGCCAGTTTTGAGACATCAATCTCTCAATCCCACTCCTCGAATCAAATTGACTTGTATAGACGCCACAAACACTCGTTTGGTGTTGGGAACTTTACCGATCTCTCTTTCGATGTGCACAGCCCCGGATGAGCAAGCTTTTTAAACTGGCCCGGGGAGACTTGGGTTACGAGTTTTGATTGGATGAATTGATTTCGAAAGGTTCATTACGAGTTTTGATTGGATGAATTGATTTCAAAAGGATCATGTTTATAAAACAAGATAATATTAGTTTTTTTAAAATAAATAAATAACTGATTATAATTGAGTTTTTTTATCGGTTTTAATAGATGAACCAAGTTATTGAATTAATCTAAATTTTTAAATAAATTATTTAAATTTTAATTTAATTTTAATTTTTTTTAAATTAAATTTAAATTAATCTATTAAATCAATCATTGAGTAAGATTTTAAAATTATTACTAGAAGAGTTTTTTTTTGTGGGATATTGGATTTCTTATTGTACTATTTAATTTTTATCCCCTGACCATAAATGTTTATGTTGCAAAATTGATGATTAGTTGGGCTTTTACTCAATTTTTATTAAGATGAATATTGGCTTATAAAAAAAATATACACCAAAAGACACTAAAAAGCATATGCATTGTTCCACTTCAACGAATTGCTAGAAGTTCTCTCAATATTTAAATAAGAGATCATGATAAAAACTTCTGGAACATCAACGGTGTCATTGAAATTTATTGTGATGCAAATAAATTATATATCTTGCTGGTCCGGCGTACTGCGGCAATACCATTGCCCGTCTACTCTACTTCTTCTAGAAATTACATGATACATTTGACTTATGAGCTTGTTAATTAACATCAAACAACATTTTAATCAGGGATTTGGACAATGTGTTCATATCATAAATTCTCAATAAAGTTAAGGTGAGATAAGTTTATCTTAACGTGAAAGAAGTAAAAAACACGTTCACTCTTCAAATACGTTAAAAATATTGTGATTTGTTCGTTCACTTGTTTGCATGCAACATACTTTGGAGTTTTGTTTTTAAAATTCAAGATTTTTAATTCTTAAAACTTCCAAATCTAAGTAATAATCGGATCCAAAATTTGTAAACATGAACAAGTAATAGCAAAATATTTCATTTGGTATAATCATCAATAATAACCAAACCCTAATGGAGGAGGTGTGGGGGCCAAATGTCCAATAATTCAGGTATTAAATTATAAGGAAAAAAAACATATATATAAGATGTCGATGATTATATCATCCAGTGGTTTTTATTAGAATATCTTTCATCAGATTGAACAATGTCAGGCCGTCAATCTACCCCGGAGGCCACCTTACTTTCTCGTTGTAACTCCACTTCCTTCGACGTTAAACCAGGAAAGCGTGCACCATTTCCAGCTAGCTTCCGTACCCATCATTATCGGTTTTGGTGATAATTTATAAACCCGTATACTAAACAACCTATACACTCTTTCAAACAACTCCTTTCTTGATGTAAATCAATGCAAGGATTCAAAGCCTGTTTTTTTATTAAAAAAATTTCTCCACTAACATCTCTAGCCAAACATCTTATATTAATGCCCAAAAGTGGTGGTTTTTGTGTTTTGGTTGTTTTTTTTTTCTGGGAAAAAGAAGAGAGTTTAGTTTTGTGCTAGAAAAATAAGTCTGTGCCAATTGACAAATTGGTCGTGCCGATAGCCTCTCCCTTAACAGTTATTGTGATGTTCATAGATTTGGTGTCTTTCGTGCTATACGTGTTGCCAGCCATGGCTGGTAAGAACACTACACTAATGAACAAATGGTAATGGAAACTACGGAACATGACCACCTACAAGATCATATTCTTTTTGTGTGAAAAACAAATAAATTTCTCTTGGTACGGAGCGCAAATGAAAACTCGTACTTGATGAGTTCAATAGTTAATACATGAAGAAGTTTTATTGCATAAAAGCTCAAAAAGGGGTCCATCAGACGTCCTGATTTTGAGAGGACGGACTACCGAGTAACTGTTTTTCACGTGCAGGCCTAATCTACGATCAAAGCACCAACAAAAAAACCAACTGTCCCCAATCTCGCAACCAACATCCTAGCTACGGTGACTTGAAAGATCCATTACCAAATTTACAGCTTGAAATGTTCCAGTCGAGGGTTCCCGTCGAGCCCTTTTGAGTAAGTGTATGAGACGTAATCTTTAATAGTCGTTTGCCGATATATTGGTTGGTTTTCTTCCGACAGCAGTTCCTTAATGGGTCCATACACTCTAGAAGAACTCTCTTGCTGCAAATGCGTTCTAAAAAAGCAGGCACTTGATATTCTTGGACCAGTGTTTTTTGCCATCACCCTATGATACACACTTTTGAACTTGCCGTTGGTAATTAGCTACACAAAATAAGACAGTTAAAACTAATCATATAGTCCTTAATTATTTAATTATAAACTTATAATAAATGGTTTTAAAGAAGTCTTGCCTGTGTCATATCTCCCAGGTTTACTATTAGAGCTCCAGGAATAGGGGTAACATCAATCCATTGATCTTCATGGAGGACTTGAAGGCCACCCAATTGGTCTTGCAGAACAACCGTGAGGAAGGCACTATCTGCATGCTTGCTAAGGCCCAAGGTCAAGTCCGGTTGCGGGCATGCCGGGTAGTAATGACCTATAAAATACAGCCCCTCTGCACAGCCCATATCTTTCAAGTGGCTGGGTTTTAGCCCCAGAGCTTCCGACAACAATTCGAATATAATTAGCCCTAATGACATCACTTTGTTCGTGTAATCAATCATAATATCCCTGTTGAAAAGTTGATCAATTAAGCATGTGTAATTCATAAACACGTTCTTTATGATTTCAATTAAACCCTGCAGCTTAAAGAGTACCAACGGGGTATAAGATGTAATTTGTTGAGAGGGAATTATCCCAAGGATGAAATCTAATGATCAGAAAAATTATCCCGATCCCAGATGCTAATCAGGCCAATGTTTTCTTGTAATTAATTTGCCTACATAATCAATTATCTTCAGCATACATATAGTTTGGTTAATTTCCACAAGAGTAAAATTTAGGAGTAACACCATACCTTCAAACTGCAGGCAATTCCTCGGGACGGGGTGGATGAGGGGCTACAAGGCAATACAAAGAATCCCTCCAATTAGCTGCTGGTGCTTGATAGAAATCAAAGTTGGTATTATATGCTACCCTTCTCATTTCATCGCGTGTATAGAATTCTTTCTTCACCTCTGTGTCTTGTTCATGAAATCTACGCACGCCATTTATCATATCATCAAGAACACTTGATGAAATCCCATGATTGATAACCTGAAAGAAACCCCAGTTCTTGCAAGCTTCTTTAAGTTCCTTAACAATCTTCCCACGAAGACTTGCATCTTCTTGTATGCCATCGAAGTCTATTACTGGTACGGTAAAATTATGGTGGCCTGAACTTGACTTGTCATTTGTACTAGATTCATGGATAAACATCTGGGGAATGTTTGCAACTCCAGAATCCACAAGGCCCTTTACGCCAGCTTTGGAATCATCGAAAGCCTTTAGCTCACTTCTCCGGTCGTAATCAGATTTCAACTCAGATTCAGTTTTGCCTGAACTGGTGCTCAGCATTTCTTTCCTTAACCTGCGAATGGAAACTCTACGTCACTTGACCGATCTTTAGAAGGATCGAAGTAAGCGTGCAAGTGTGAACATGTACAGTCTCTCGTGAGGCCGCTTACTAGTCAATTGCTCCTTCTTGGTTAATGCGATTGCACGTCAGAGTTGTTGCTGAAAAAAAACATGCATACTGCTAGGACGACCAAGGATCAATGCTCAGAATTGAAGACACACAATTTATCTGGTTTGGCAATTCGCCCTCACAATAGAGAACTTCCCCTGAAATCATTCATTCTCTTCCATAAAATCATCCATTCTCTTACAGCTTGATTTGCGCCTTATTGTAAGTGTAATTTGTCTCCATTCATACCACACAAAACAACTTATCTTTGTCCTAATCTGGGAAAGCCCAACAGTTACATGTTGCCTGGTATGGCATCGAATTCTTCGCTAATTGAAAGACAGGATACTGCGGAATGGGACAAGGAACACCGAACATGCCCATTTTTCTAGTGAGTTTCACACTATAACTGACGTGGACTTCAAGACTGTCGAGCAGCACATGAGCAAAAGTATCCCTTGTAACCTGAGAGTCGGTGTTGAAGAATAAACGAGCAGTATGGTTTCCGACAGTCTTAATTTTAGATCAGGGAGCCCGTTTGGAGCCCGTGACATTAATGGAGGTGCCAAAGTGTTTTAAAACAGAGTCAAAATACATTTCAAATGTCACTTTCATATCTTTTCAGTGATTCAATCCTCAAATCATGCCTAGATTTTCTTTATCTTCGTCAATGTTTAAGGCAACTCCGGATTTTACATTAATTTTCCTCTATCTTCGTCAAATGAAACTTAAAAACAATTATGGTATAGATTTCTAACAATTAATTATTACACTCTAGATCTGAAGAAGGGATCTATGTTCAAGTCAATTTTCAATTATTTCTAACTTTTAAAGAAAGGATTAAAGAGAGAAAAAACAATAAAATAAAGATAAACCAAAAAAGGAGATCTATGTTCAAGCCCCTTGACACCAGCTTTTGTATCGTAAGCCTTAAACTCGCTTTTTGGGTCAGAACTGGATTCGATGTCTGCCTGGATTTCGCTAATCGTCTTGACCACCATTTTCTTTCTTTTGTGAATTTGTGTGATCTCACATCTTGGCCGCACCTGAATATTAAGATCCGACTTTACAATCTGAATTGTAGCAGGGGAGATGTCCCGTCCAGCCCTTTTGAGAAGTAGACTTTCATCTAGTCATTTAAATCTACGTCCCTGTAAATCGGAGGATTTTCTTCTGATAATAATTCCTTGACTGTTCCGTAAATTCTCGAGGCATTTTCTCCCAGTGTCTGTGGCCTAAAGAAACATGGTACTGAAATTCTTGGATCTGCTTGCTTTGCCAATACTCTGTGATCAACACTAATTAACTTGTCATTGGAGAGGAGCTGCAGAAAATCAAGAGATGAGAAAAGTAATACCATGGTGATCTTTTGCTCTGGACCATGCAATCTGCTTAGACTCATCTTCAAAGACAAGGTAATGCCATGGTGATCTTTTGCTCTGGACCATGCAATCTGCTTAGACTCATCTTCAAAGACTTGAGGCCTTTTGTCAATTGTATAGTTGAAGTACCAGTGGAAGATCTCCAATATTTAGTACTGGAGCTCCACGTTCAGGAGGGACATCAATCCACCGATTGCCATGGAAGACTCGGAATACTAGAAAGAAAAATTTCTTTCTTGTTTGGGCACCGTGTAGCCAAGAAGCTTTGAACTACAAGCCCACAGACATCAAGGTCCACCTGATTCCATGTGAAACTCGTACCTTTAACAGTTTCATCTCTTGTGAGCGCTATCTTTTGGACCAGTTCCTATCAGTCCTTGATGAAGAGGAGCGTATAATGTGAACCTAAACCCATTTCACAGCCATCTTTCTTTTTTATATTGCAGCCCTGTAATGGTAATCAGGCCGGCCATTGCAGGTACGGCTTCGTATCTTAACTAATAAATAGTTAAATACCCGTAAAAAATGTCTAATGGGCAATGTGCATAGAAGCATGTAGGCCCAAACAAATACATGCGGCTTCGGGGATGCGTGTCAACTTTAATCACTTATTTTTTTTAGAAAACATTTAACATGTAGGGATTTGATTGCACAGACTTTCTAACAGAGGAACCAAAATGTTTTTTTGTAAACACCAATTGTAATCCAAGCCCGTGTTTAGCGAAGATATGTTAAAAATATATTTCGGTCGTGATTGCACTTGTCCATGTTTTTTATAGAAGAAAATTAAAAGTTACTCCTAGCAAACACGATTTTGAGTACTGGAACTAATCATTTTTAGAGAAAATATTGATTAAAAAAATAAAATTATCAATCAGTTAATAACATTATTTAAAAATGCATAAATTACAGAAGACATGAGTAAATTACTTGATTCAATGTGTTGATAAACTTCATCTTCTATCCACCAAATATCTCTTTAATTGTGATCAAGTTGTCAATTATGTTATGTTTTGTCTTGAATAGTCAAAATATTTTATATTAATTTAAAAAAAAAATAATAATAATAATTTTTATCTCATTTCAGATCTCGACTCGTTCCATATTTTTCAGATAAATTTCATCTAGAATGTTTCGATTTCATTTTAAATGTTTCGTTCCGTACTTGAAAAGCCTTTGAATCAAATTAAACTTGATTCAATTTGATTAATTAAATCATTTAAGTATAGACTATAAAAAGCTCTTTTCATTATTATTTTTAATAACAATAGTATTATTAAAAATAATTATTATTATTTTCATTATTAATTATATTAAATTTTTAAATTTAGATTTATTGCTAATATATATGGTTTATATTTATGTTATTTTTTTTATATTTATACTTTATAAAAAATTAAGCAAAATAAGAGATGCTTTGGATCTCATTAGTCTAGATAGTATTAACCTATTTAATGAATAGATTTCTAAAGAATCTAACATTCTTGATGGAAAGGATAAGTTGGGAGATTATCGAAGTATCTTTGTCTACCTTAATCTTAAAGGATAAAGAGATATGTTTTGATAACGAGAATGAGTTTGGTGAAAATATTTAGCTAATGACTTTTTCTACATACCACCACAAAATCAAGATCCTTATTTTTATTTTAATGATAGAGATGATGTTTGATTTATATTTCTTGTATGTTAAAACATTTTAATTTTATAATATTTTAATATTTTGTTTAAGTTTAATTACTTTACGTAAAAGTTCTATTTAATCTTAATTATTTATAAATATTTTAATTTTTAATTTTTTTTTGACGTTGTGTCTGTATTGCATAATTTATAATTAATTTATCTCGAATTTAAATTACTTTTGTTGAATTACACACACACACATGAACAATACAACCCCGAAACAACACGCTAAAACACTCCAAAATCAAAATATTCTATTTAAATTGAAAAAATAAAACAACTACTAAAATAGAATTTACAATCGTATTTGTATGTACCATCCTCTCCCTTCAAATGCTTCTTGAAGCTAAGACATTGCATGTCTCCCCCTTCATTTTATTATCGCAATCCATTTTATAGGGATATTTTAGTTTTATAATCCATAAATAATATTTAATGAACTAATTTATATTAAGTTGGTTTATTTCTTGTATCATTTTTTAATTAAATTTTTCACAAATTTCATTATTTAACACTAAGTCCAACAAGATCGATTAAGGATTAATGTTAATAATTAGTTTTAATTTATTTTTTTATGAAGTTATCTTGATCTTATATCCAGAGTTGTGGATTTGATAAATTAATATGAGTAAAATTAAATCATGTTTTTTTTTATGAGGTTATCTCGGTTTCATGGTCTCATGAACCAGGTGATGAGCTTAGCATACTAACTTGGGTAGTTTTGTATTTTTTTTAATTATTTTTTTTAGATTCATCCTTTAATATTAGATTGGTTAAGAATTAAATTTTTTAATTTATTTATATTTTTGTTTCTATAAAGTTATCTCAATTTTATAACTCGAGTCATGAGATATATTAACTTATTGATTTAAATCAATTTAATATGTTGTTATATCAATATTTAAAAATATTATCTTAAAAAATTATATTTTTATTAATCATTATTTTTATACTTGTAAAGTCAATTAAATGAAGTTGATATTATATAATTTAAATACATTAGAAATACTTAAATAATTTTTTATATTAAAAAAATATATCACAGCCTCAGGAAGTGTCGACGTGAAATTGCAACTATCCTATATTTTATCAATGTCACAATTTTTTTGGCTGGTTTTGGAAAAAAAGCTATCCTATATTTTAAAGGACTAAAAAGACAACCTTAGCTGGCGGTGATTCCAACTATTACAGAAAGCAGCCAGGGTAGAGTTCCAGATACGAAATTGACTTCGATATCTTAACAACGATGAGGCTAGCAAAACCTATAAATAAAGCACATATGGTGGTACAGAGCTTTCAATATCGTACGTGTTCCGCCGGACCTCCCCATCCTTTTCTTTCTCCGGCTCGCCTGAAATGTAGCACCTCAGTACGAGGGACGGGCCCACAAAATGATTCATGAGGTTGCGTGGATCCATGAATGATATTCAAGAAATAAGAAAATAAACAGAATGGCTGTAATGGATTCCAAGAGATCGAGCGAAGTTGGATCATTCCCTCCACCAATTTCTGCAATTTATAAGGGAATTGCTTTTGTACTTTTAGAAACGTTTTTAAAAATTTTAACAACATCATCTTATGAAAAAATAAAAATTATTTATTTTTCTTGGTGAATCAATGGGTCATCTATAAAATGTCATCAATCTTCTTGATATTAATTATATTAGAGATATTAAACAAAGCTTTGCAATTACTGAATTAAGCAGTATAATTAGTTAAAATATAATCTTTTTAGAATATACGAACTAATTAACTATTTTTGATCTCAGAAGGGCAAATTATTGATCTCCTGAAATATTTTCCCAGGCAGAAACTTACGAAGGAGAAAATAGTTTTAGTAGAATTAAAATAAATAAAAAAATTATATAGAAGAAACGCCATAGCCCCTCTCACGAACTACTGTGGATGGCAATTGTATTGACAGGTGCGAGAATAGAAAGGAAGAGAGAGAAGAAAGAAAGAAAGAAGGAAGGAAAGAAAGAGGGCTACCAGGCCATGTCATGCCTACATCACGTCATCATGGAAAAGACACGTCCCGAAGCCGATTTCAATAATACTAAAAATTTATTTAAAAGTAT